GTAAATTTTTGCGGCCGGAGCTGGTCGTAACCCGAAAAGTTCGTTAGTAGAGGCGTTCGTACCCTGAGGTACCACTGTAGTTATAGAGACAGCTGTCTGGTTATAGTAAAGAAGGAATAGGCACTACAGTCTGTATAGTGTAGAGGCATTCAAACCTCAACCAAGACCCCAACTAGCATTCAGGCTTGTAAGCAACCATTTGAGTGGATAACGTCTTTAACAGAGACCATAAAGGGAAGTAAATGTTTTATATGGGAAGGGAGTTGATTTTCTCTCTCTTTTGCAAGCAATCAATGTAGTACAAGTGAGCAATACAGGTATATACAGGCAAGCAGAGTGGCAAAATCTGTAGGCCATTTGTCATTTTGTTTTGCAAGTATAATTCACTTAAATATGGTCAATGGATCATCATGGTGTTCTTTCTAGCCTTCACCCATTTTTAGCAATGTGTTCTTCCCACAAATTCACCCACTGTAAAATATTCTTGCATCAGCCAGTTCCCACGATACCATCAAATTATGTAAAATGGGTCGGGCTCTTGAAAATCACTCTGGGTACACCCAGTTAAGCTCCTGGTGAAACACAGAGAGATATATAGCCAGAAGCTTTTAAGAAACCATTTAAACCAACTGTGATTTTTCTCAAGGGAAAACAAAATAGATTAAAAGCTGATTTACCTTTGTAGGTCGTCAAGTCCTCTGACCATTGATGAGCTAGGGTTCAGCCTCAGGAAATTTTGCTTCAAATTGAGATGAGTGAGGTCCTGGCTATAGAAAAGATTGACAGGCATATCCTCCAGGCTGCAACATGAGAGATCCACTGAGCTTATTCGCTGGGATGCAATCTAAAAACAAAGCAAACCAAACAGAAAAGTTAAAAGTGCTTATTGGCTATGTAAGGATTCTTGACTGCTTATCAAATCAGTCCAGCTATAAAAGCTAAGCGTATGCATGACTATTTTCAGAGAACAAAGGGAAGGAGGTTTCTCCTTAAACACTTTTTCTTTCACTAAATTCTCAGTATTTATTTTACTATTACTTTTAAGTTTCTCTATAGCTGTGTCCTTCAGAACGGCCTGTACATGTATGCCAACTAGAAGTGTCTGCATGTGGATAGTCAAGGGGGATTAAAATGATGAAAGCAGTGCCATATTGTTGTGGTGCAAGCTTCACCTCTTTTGTATATGTGTTGTGACAAATGTACAAAAGTGGGAGAGCTTCTGCTGTAAAGAGGTAATGCTTCATATCCTGTGGATGCCTCTGGTACAAACATTTCTTTTTCTGTGGTTTTCACTCATTCTGCTCAATATCCCTCATCCACCTAAAGATATCCTACTCCCTAGAAGAACTTTACCCATTTTCTCTTGTTGTTTATGCCTGGAAATGTGTTTCTGAATGCTTCCATGCAACACGCCTTCTGTTATTTCCTTTAAGTTCCATCTCCAAACTTATTTTGTCAACAGTTTAGGTCATTATCCTAGCTCCTATGCTATAGCTAAACCAAAACACATATGAATGAAATAATCATATACAGTGGTACCTCGAGTTACGAATTTAATCTGTTCCGTGACTCTGGTTGCAACTCGAATTGGTCGCAACACGAGGC